GTATACCTATTTATCTACCTGTCCTAACTGAAAGCCCTATCAATTGTGGTGCCGACTAGCGACAGGGAGCCACAGCAGAGGGATGAAAGAGCCACATGCGGCTCCAGAGCCACAGGTTGCTGACCGCTGATCTAAGAGAACCCAAGATTATAGATCAGTTTATTCTGTGGGCACAAAACCCTATCTAGAGTTAATGTCAGTCAGATAAATAGGTATACTGTGGTGGGCATTTAACAGGGGCACGAAAGGAATCCCCAACTGGGCAACCCCTGGGCAATGTTGCTTAAGAAATAATAACCATTTCTTATTTTTGTAAAATTTAAATCTCATTGTTGCTATAGATCCAGGTCTTTAAAGCCCCATGACACAGCATTAAGACTTCTACCATTATTCATATCTAATTGGGACACAGACATACACCTGGGTGCCCTCTGCTCATTGATGTTTCATATTTCAGCCACTGAATAGTATCACTTAATGTAGATATTAAATAACATTTTATGTTTTTTAAATGAATTAGTTTTGCCCTTTTTTTTAAACGACTGCTTGCTAGACTTTGCCAAAACCACAGCAGTACTTTATTAAGTGCTAATTCCTTGTAAACTATAGAAAATAACATCAACATTAATTTTGTAGTGTGGTAAATAAGAAATAGGGCAACTGCAGTAACAAAAATGTTCAATTCAACCAAGGACAGAGTCTGAACAGCAGTCTGAAAAACTTTGGGCTACAGATTCATCAATCCTCCAAAAGACCTTAGAGATGCTTTCTTTTGCTCCAAGTCTCATACTTATTTCCAGGCTGTTATTTTAAATCCAACAATTCAACAAAGTGTTTCATTTTAGCTCTATTTTTTTGTGTATTGTATTCCTAAGAGAATGAAAACAATTTGTTCATAGTTCAGGGATAAAACTATAACAGTGGAATTGGGATTAGCATAGCAATGCCTATTCTAAGACAGAATAGGTTTGAAACCTCATCATGTGTGATCTATAGATGATCTGCAGATGGTAGGTATATAGTGTTTGGGAATCCATCTATTACAGGTAGTCCTTGATTTTTGTTTGGTGACTGTTCAAAGCTAGAATGGCACTGAAAAAAGTGACTTATGACCCTTTTTCGCACTTATGACCATTGCAGCATTCTCATGGTCACATGATCAAAATTTGAACACTTGGCAACTGGCATGTATTTATGATGGTTGCAGTGTCCCAGATCATGTGATCAACTTATGCAACCTTCTGACATGCAAAATTAATGGGGAAAGCCCGATTCATTTAGCAACCATGTTCCTAACTTAACAACTGCAGTGATTTCCTTAACAACTGTGGCAAGAAAGGTCATAAAATGGGGCAAAACTCATTTAACTATTGTCTTGCGGAGCAATTGAAATTTTGAGCTCCATTGTGATCATACCTGCATTTTGAAAAGTAGTTGATATAAAGCATGGTCCTACTGCAAATAATTATTATTGTTCACTGACTTGCACCACAACAGTGTCCAGTGGCAGCAGGTCATATGTGGCCTCTTTTTCCCCAGCATGCTTTTCTATTTGAAAATTATCAGTCTGAAATATTGTGTAACATACTTCAGCGTACTGAATGTTACTTCCAGGCAGCCGTTAAGCATATTGTTTTACTATTGAAAGCTATATTTTTATATTCTTTAATTATATGAGATACAAAGTCTTCATTGTTTGCAATAATGGGTATGCAGCTACAAATGACAGTTCCTAGGGAGCTGAAACAATTTTGTTTTATTTTTCTCCCTACTTAAAAAGAGATTCAGAAAATTATTATAGTATAACATCTTCAGTGTAGAAAGGAGTTGACTGCAGTTGACATAAAACAGGTCTGCTTCTGATTTATTTCTTCACCTCTGCAGTTTATCTTTCAGGATTGTCATCAGAAGACATTCAGCCACATTCACTGAAATGCAAGGGCAGCCAACTAGAAAACTGCTAAGCAACTTTCTGCATGCTTCCTTCTTCAAAGCTACAGGGTAATTCTCCTCTGGGATATTTATACCATCTAGCTTGGTGCCCATGGCATTTTGATGGTTATCTATGTTGCTGTATAATTAGTGTACATTAAAACCCAGAGCCGTGAAATTACAATGCCAGGTCATGTTTAATATCCAAAGTCAAGAATTAGACGGAAATGCCACATATCATGCAGCCAAGACAGATTTGCCTGATTCCCTTGTGCTTACTGCAGCTGCATCCATGGCTTCATTTTTGTGCTGTCAGAACTATATGTACATTCAGTAAGGAAGACAGAGCAAAGTGCCAGCTTGAACTGTGAAACAGAACATTGAGCAATGACTCATTGGTTGAGTTCATACATTTCTCAGCATCACACTCGGGTTTGCCACTGAGTGTTGACACAGTAGACATTACAGCTTGCCTTGAGTCTCTTACTGGTACTGATACACACATCTGCAAAAACTGTTTTGAAATCCGTGTATTACAATTTAAGCAAAAATTTTAAAAATGTGCACCCAGAGGAGATGTGCTGCCCGAGAAATACAGCTCCCCCAATTTTGTAATGTCTTAGAAATCTTGATTTTAGAAGATGACATTACAAGCCACTTCATGGTGCTTCTGGGCTGGTTCCCAGTTTTGGAGAGTTGCTTGGCCACGTGCTGTTGATGCAGTCATACATGTTTTCTCCCTTGAATGCATATGAAAAGGAGACAAAGCTCCAAAAGTGAAGAGATGCAGCTTCCATTTTGACATCATTTTGACCCCTTCTGTGGACGCTTGTGAACCCAGTGGTATCTCAAGAGTTTCCTCCAGGAGCTTGGTAGCAAAATCCATGGCAAAGTCCCAAACCCAGCAGGATGACATTTCAAAGAACATGACATAATGTGACACGTGAAACAAGCCCCTTTGATAAGAACACCATTTGATTAGATGGGGGTTTTAAGAACACCCCTCCCCCCACTCTCTCACACACACACACCACAGAAAGGAATTGATAATCTTTTCTGCCCATCCCTCCTCCTCCCAGTGGTGCAGACGGGTCAGCAGTTGCCAAGAGTGCTAAAATATGCAACTCGGTCCAATTGCTCATACTGGCCCTTCCCCCCCTACTAATCCTATCTTAAGGTCTCCTTGTCTTACCTTGAAGCTCTGAGGGCAGGTGAAGTGAAATAAAGCACCGGGAAAGGGCGCCTTCTTAGGGACGGATTCACCTACCACAAAGGCATTTCTCAAACAAGTGCAATTTCTCTTCAAAGCAGGAGCTGCCTTGGCGACTTGCTCTGTTCATCTTCACTGAACCTTTCTGCCCGAGGACCGGATTAAACGGGCGTTGTTTTGTAGGTTCGGAAGAAGTAATCTGATTCTGCCTCCCGATTCTCCCCACTGTTGGTCTCCAGCACGCCCGGCACTCCCGTTCCTCCTTTCTCACCCAGACCCGGCTAGCTCGGGGCAAGGAAAGGCCCTTCTCTTCACAAGAGCCTGCCGAAGGCCCAGCCACAAAGACTCGAGGCAAATGGAGCTAGCCGCGAGGATGCTAATGAGCCGGGGGACCTCCGATCTCGCCCTTACCTGCCTGGATTGCCGGGCGGCCTTCCGCAAACACCTCGGCGGAGAGGGGGACCAGATCGCGCCCACCCAACCGCGGCGGGGCTCGCTGGAGTTGCCCCTTCGCGCCGGAACCTTTGGCAGCCTGGCGGCGGGGGAGGCGGCGATCCCTTGCAGCTTGTGGCGCCGCCGCTTAGCTGCTCCCCTCCAACCTGGCCGTGACGCAAGCAGAGCCTACTTAAAGGCGGCGGGGAGGCAGGCAGAGAGACACGGAAGGCTATCGCCGCCTAAGCTGGCTCCCCGGAGCCGCCGCCCTGCCTTGCAAGCAGCCCGCCCCCCCTCCCTGGGGTCGGGGCTTCTATTCGCAGGCAACGAGGCCCGCCTCAGGCTGGTGCTTCTCGGCCGTTCTGGTGCGGTCGCTGGTGCTGCCGCCGCTGCCGAGCTTTCGCCTCCGGATGAACCGCGATGGGGGAATGGACCATCCTAGAGAGACTCCTCGAAGCCGCTGTCCAGCAGCACTCTACTATGATAGGGAGGTAAGCCCGATCCACAGGCTCCCATCCGGCCAGTTTGGGGTCTTCTTCCCCCCTTCCCTTCCCTTCTCCGGAGTTCCCTTTGCCCACTTGACCTGCTGGTTTTCAGCAAAGCTGCGGCGGAGCTGTAAACTCATCTCGGAAGTGGCTGCTTGGCTGTCCTTTCTCCAATTCGGAAGGCAGGAATTTGGAAGAAAAGTCTCTAAGGGATTGTTGTTGTTGGGTTTTTGTCCCCCCAGCAGGGAGCTGCAGGGTTGCAGCCTGAACGGGACACCTTGACTGACCCTTCTTCTCTCCTTCCTTGTCCTCAAATATTTGTTCAATAAACTTGCTTGCTGCTGCACAGGACTGTCATTTCCCGCTTCTCACATGCCTTTATTTCTGTATTTTATTGCAGAATTCAGGGGAGACTTTTAAGTTCTGTCTAATCTACTCCTCAGTTTTTGCTCCCATTCATGTGCTCATCAACAAAGATTCTTGAATTAATATTTAATTGAAAAAATACGGATGGGATATATTTTTGGGTAGATTTATTTATTTTTAAGTCCCAAGAGTAATCTCTAATCTAGCTGGTGATTGCAGTGTGCAAATAATAGTAATAATAGCAACAAGGGTAAAGTAAGGGCAAGCAGCCTCCTTGCTTCTGATTTGCCTCTCTTCTCAGTTACGATTTGTAATGGTTGATCAATATATTGCAAACCAAATGAAAATGGGAGATGCACTGCTGGTTTTCATTTCACCTTCTTTTTTAATTGACCAACTTCTGTTGTACCGCAGCAGAGACTCAGGAAGGGGAATGGGAGGGAGAAAGTGCTTCTCAAGTGACCGTTGTTATAGACTTTGTCCTTTGCTAGTAGAATTAAGCTTGGTGTACTCTCATACACCGAGGAAGCAGTTTTTTCTACTTGCTGTAAATGTCCCTAGAGAGAAGTGCATTGTTTCATAAAATCAAACCATTCAACAAAGGCTATGAAGTTCTCTATGGGTGAGTGCCATACAAATTCAGCACTGGACAGTTCCATTTAACTGCAATGAAAGCAGCCAGGATATCATTTCATTCATTCTACTCAAAAAAAAAAAAAAAAAAGAAGAAGAAGTAGGAATTGCACGGATGAATGATTTTTAATAAATGTGCATA